GAAGGATGATTGCAGGAGATTTCCTTATTGTGAAAGCAAGCAGCCTAATTCTGTTCTTAACCAGGTTTAGTAGTAGATTATGATGGGGAGATAGTGGAAGGTATTTTACTCCCTGGAAATATCCTGCTTGGTGCTCTCTTGGGAATGTCTGTGAAACTAAGCAATGGCATTATTTTGTGGATTTATAAGGCTATCTCTGAGGAGACACTGGTGTTCTTCTGAAGCACTTTTATACCAAGTGGATGTCATTGTATAGGTCAACAGCAACAGCAACAAATCTTTAGGTGATGCATCTCATATTCTGTGACTGTGCCTGCATTGCTATGAAATATAAGTAACTTCTTTTTCATACAGCTCAAAAGACAAAATATGAAGCATTATTTAAAGAGTTATAAATGTCTTCGTGCCAAAGACAAAATTTCAAAAATTATTAGGATAAGACTTAGGACAGGCTCAGTATTAAAATAAATTGCAGAAGCGAAAGAAAACACCATGTGGTAAGTAACACTGAGGTTGTACATGGCATAATTGTTGGGATATAATTCGAAGGGACAAAAATACCAGAGATTAGGAGGGGATTGAGCAGATTGATAGAAGGGTCTGTTCAGCCCAGGACTAGGAAGTTCTATAGCCTGTAACAAGCCAAGGTCAACAACAGCAAGGGAAGCTTGATACTCAGCTTCCTGGCATGAGTTCTTCCTTACCTTCCCAGCGTAAGTCCACAGCAGCAGCAAGTTAGACATCTACCTGATCACAGTGAGGAAATGAGATGCAGTAAGTGGAAAAATTTGAACCTGTTTACTGTTTAATCGGGTCCCGGAGTTGTTCCAGGCTGAGAACAAAGACAGCTTCCAACACACTCAAAACTTACAACTGGGTCTTGAAGGATTTATGGATTTCAATGCCTCTCAATCTTAAGACTCACCATTGAAAAGGTGTAAATTTACTTTGGGGACAAGACATTTAACCTTAAAACACTGAAGCATAGCCTTGTATGTGAGAGCTTTTTAAAAACTATGGATTCCTGGGCTCTATTAAATTAGAATCAATTAAATTAGAATCTCTGAGAAGATAGGAGGGGCCTAGGCATCTATATATCATAAGATTTTCAGTGATTGTATTTTTCAGTCCTTAAGTGACCAGAGCAATATGAGCTCTTCATTGTAAAAAAAATGGTGTAAAAATGATTACTCTCATACTCTCTATGTTGAGGGATAAACTGGGCAAGGTACACACTGTGAAATGAATAGCTACTTCATCACCATCACCTCTTTTATAATGATACGATGTATGTGGAAAAGTGCAAAGATCAGAAATGCAGGGCTAGTGAATTATCTCTGAATAGACAGACCTTGGTTGGTGGCATCTCAGGGAAGATGAAGAGTATTTCCACAGTCCCTAGGTCTTCCCCATCGCTACACTCCCTCCTTTACAGGGTGGATAAGAAAGTCCTCAGGTAGTTCTAATAGGTTATACTATTGTCTTTGTGTCTCTTTTTTAAAACCTTGTTTCCCTTGTAGATCCTCTTAAGAAGAGAGAGGGAAAAAAGAGCATGACAAGTTCATCACAGCAAGGCTTTCTTTCATAGAGGCTCTGCATTCTTCATCATGGCCTTTAGTAGTCACACAAGTAGGTCCTTGGGCATTACATCATGGCTGATTGGAACCCAGAGGTATGTGCTCTACCAGGTACCCAGTTTGAGGGGCTAAGGGATGGATGGAGAGCTGTGCAGAGTGTGTGAAGCCTGTAACTGGGTTTGGAAACTGATACGGCTGTAGGCTCTTCAATAATCTTGAAATTCATGTAGCTTTCTCCTAGAGACACCTTGTGAACTCCTGAATAAGGAACTCCATGCAGTGTCTTCCCTGGGGATCCCTCCTGTTTAGCAGGATCTCTCTTCACCTTTTCTCTTCAGTTAATCTTTGCCCCTTTATTTCTTCCTCTGTGTCCATGGACTCATTCTCAAAAATCATAAAGACAGGTGTTACAGTATTTCAGCATCATCCTTGTACAAGGAGGAAATACTTTAGGAATGAAGTTTATTAGTCCTCCTGATCTAGCAATAATTAATAGCAATACTTGATATTTTAAGGGCACTAGGTGTGCTCACAAGCTATATGGCAAGATTATGTCAACAAGTTTTCAAATTCATTTCTTTGCTGAAGGAATTTAGCTTTGTTAAATATAAAAATAAATAAAAATTTCTTTCAAGTATCAGGTTACCTTAGACTTGAGAAATAAGATTGTAGGGAAGTAGTTGGCAGTTGCTCCCCCATTTTGTGATGAGGTGTGGCTCCATCTTGTCTAGAGCTGTGGGAAAGTTGAGGATGTGGCAAAGCAGGATGACTGCCCATTCGGCCATTTATGAAACCCAGATGAGAAAATCAGCTTGTTGATCATTTTAAATGATGCCCTGGAGAATGGGCTAGAGGACGAGGTAAACTTGGTCAATCAGAGTGCTTGCCTGATTACAGTAGGTGAGGAGGTATCAACAGCCAGCCAGAGCTGATTTTACAGTGGTGTCATTGCAGTGACTGCAATGCCCACCAGAGGGCACTGTTATACACCTGGGACAGGGACAGACAGGGAGTTTCATTTTCTCTTTCTTTCTTTCTTTCCTTTTCTTTCTTTCTTCTTTCTTTCTTTCTTTCTTTCTTCCTTCCTTCCTTCCTTCCTTCCTTTCTTTTTTTTTATTGTGAAAATACCGTACAGAGGGGTTACAATTACATGGGCAAGATAATGAGTATATTTCTTATCAAGCATTGTTGCCTCCTCCTTTGTTTCCCCTTCCCATCCCTTCCCATCCCCTCCTCCCCCCAAAGTTGTAAAGTTCGGTTTTTCGATATAACAATTTGTACATCTCATTGTTGCAATGGGCAGCCAGGGAGTTTCTAAGTGGAAACAACTGTTTCTAGGCAGAGGTAAGAACTTTTTACAATCTTTCCTCCGAGGAAGACCTCCAGCCAGACTTAGTGTGGAGGAGTAGGTGAGTAGATGAGAAAAGGAAAATTTGGACAGAAGGAAAAGAATCCCAGTTCCTCTCCTTATTTTCAGTAGGTGTGGACTTGTTTTGATTTTGGTGCTAGGGAAGAACCCCAGGGCTCTGGTATATACTAGATAAGTTCTTCACGAGTAAGCTACTCCTTTAGATCCTGCTGTGTTTTCTGATAAATCAACTGTAAGAGAAGTTCAAAGGTAGGGGCTAATTACAGCTTCTCTGGAGCCAGAAATAGAAGGATCAACACTGGCAAATTGAAAGACTCTCTGAAAAAATAAGCTAAAAGAAAAGAATTTGGTGTATGGCTTAGGAGATGGTCCTTTGCTTAGTGAGCATAGGCCCTGAGTTCAAACTCAGTATCACAGAAACACGCAGAGAGTATAGAGTCTAACATGCCAATTTACTTGTTATGTGTATATGTTATGGCCCTTAAACGGACTGGGAAACTTAAAAAAAAAAAAACCTGCTTGAGTTTTCATTAAAGGGTATGAAGAAGAACTACTTGGCCCTAGAGCAGGTTCTACTGGGTAGTGAGTGGAATGATTTACAGAATCATTCTGATCATACACAGGAAGCCCTATTTACTGCAGCATTGGTTTTATTAATGTGTTGGCTACAACAGTAATTCCAACGCAATTCACCCATGATATTATGAAGGTCTCAGAAAGAGCAATGAAGGAAGAGAGAAAGACAGACCCATCCCATTTATTCCAAAGGCTCATGTCATCAGCACAACTTCCTTTAATTGCCACAAGAAACCTATGGGATTGATACTATCTGGTAAACTGAGGCTTACACAGGTCCACAAGACCCCATCTAGCAAGTGAAGGAGGAGCACTTAAAACCAAGATTTTTCCTTCCTCACTCACTTTGTTAATAATCGTATGCTTTAGTGGTATCTGCTAGTCACTATTCTGGCTTTAGGAGGAAACAATATATTGTATCTTTCTAATAAGGAGACATTTTTGAGGTAGGAGAGTATACCAAATTTAATATGTTACCTAACTCTTATCTACTTCCTAGGTATTTTTCTATCAAAAAAAATGTTTCAGAAATGACTGGAAGAGATGCCCAATGTGGTGAGGTACATGGGAACGCTAGCACTTGGGAGGTTGGAGCTGGAGAATCATGAGACCTCATCTCAAAATAACAACAACAAAAAAGTCTAGAAGCAAATTCTGCTTCTTATAATTGAGCTTCTGACAAAGATTTTAAAGTTGAGGTAGATATGCGGTGTGATACCCCTTACTTCTTATAATTTTGGGGGATAGTTATTCTTCTTAATATATAAATATGATGATAGAAAAAAACAGCTCTTCTATGGTTTCCTTGTAAGAAGTTTGATTTTGCCGTCTAGAAATAGATAGAATGTGGCAGCATGTGCTCCGAATGTTGGAGGACAAAGATTTGATATCCAAATTGTCACAGTTTAGTTCAAGCCTACTGGTACTTCTAGGCTTCTGTCAACTTTAAACTCCTTTCCACGGTGTGACAGAATTTTAAAGACAATGAGAGGGCTAAGTTTGAGTCTGAAGTAACAGTCCCATTATAACTTTTGGCATGTCACCACTTGAATGTTTATTTCCTTCTTATACATAGATTTCCAATTCCTGACTATTTTTTGCATTGTTAAATATAGTATTATAAGGATTATACATCATATTCTAATTTCTTATCCATCTCTCAGTATCAGAACCTTCTTTCCTAATGGGGGAGACTTGTCCCTTTGGAACCATCTGGCCTCTTGACTCTATTTGCAGTGGAAGTTAGAATAAGCTGAGTGAGACCCCAAGGTCATCAGCTCCTGCCTTTGTGCCAGGACATGCAAACAACCTAGGCCAATCACTAACCTGTTTTTTAAAAACCTCCAATCAGAGAGGACCTGCGCCTGCTTTTTATGAACTGCTGCCCTGTGTGACTGTAAATGTCGTTTGCTATCTCTGTGTCTCTTATCTCACTGTGGCTGCATTTTCCTCCTCACATGAACTAACCCTTTCTTAGCTTTTGCTCTACTTCTAGGCAGGCCTTCTCTTGTCAGAATGGATGGGAGACCAGTGTCACTCTGCAAATGACCAGGATGGTAAGTAGGTTCTGGGACGCCATGTACTTGGAATGGGTGGAGGAGTGAAGTCATCTCTCATTTTACAAATTATTTATTTTGGAACTCATCCTCATCAAGCTAGGCAAGCACTCTAGATCCTTTATAATAACAGAAGATGGATATTTCTCTGTGTGTTTGCAAATGGGACACTAGAGGGCTCCCAGGGGTTAAAAACAGGCAGAAAGTTGTTTGAATGAAAACAGATTCTCTATGGCATTTGCTTTTTCAGAATTGCAAATTAAAGTTTAGTTTTTAAATCATCATTAAAAATATCTCTAATATGTCTGAAAAGTATGCACTTGCCAGTTTACAAGCAAGCATTTTACTTTTTCATCACTGGAAGGGAACTTTTAAAGCTGAGCTGAAATGTTTGCACTGTGGAACTCTTGACCATGAAAAATATGTTCTACTTACATGCCTCAGCCTTCAAAAGTTCCTTGCATTAGAGTCAGGATCACATTCTTCCCGAGCCAAGCGTGGGGCCCGCTCTGTAAGTAAGGTCGCTTATGCTCTTCTTCTGCTACTTAATGATGTGAAAAAAAAAATGCAGCTGGAGGTTTGTTTCTTTAAGCTGACTTTAGTGGAAAGAAAGAAATAAAAGAGAGTTGGATTATGTGTGTGTGTGAGAGAGAGAGAGAGAGAAAGAGAGAGAGAGAGACAGAGACAAAGAGAGACAGAAAGATATTGAAAGAATGGAGAGAGATTTTGAAAGAATGTCGGAGCTTCCAAGTACTATAATTTATGGCTTTATATTTCACAAAGTTAGTGTAAGATAATGGAACATATTGTGAAAGAAGTCTGTAACATTAAATTCAGAGAATATGGCTCTGAATTTAACGCTGATTCTTGGTACTTTTGCTCAGATAATGTAAAAATAATGTGGGATAGCTGTAAGTTGTTAAAAGATGCTCTATTTCTTGTCCTAAGTTATTTCTGAATTGTGGAAAGGAAAATTCAGGTTGATTAAATTTTAATGCTTTGCTTCAGAATCAAATGAGATGATTCTGGATGGAAGTCACAAAACCCTTATTTTTAAAAATGTGTGTGTGAGAGAGTGTGGTTTGTTTTCACGACTTTAAACTGATAACCTAGCCTACATATCTGTTTTATTTTGGGTTTTTCAACTTTATGTCCAGTTGGGTGGTGCTATTTATGGCAGGCAAGGGTTAATATCTTCTTTCCCTGGCAGGGGAAACGAAATGGTTTGAGATGGTGACTCAGTAAACTGTTTCCATTCATTCCAGAACCAGCCCTCCTTTCTCCTTGGGAAGGCAGATAAGAACTTACAAGGTTTGTTGTGGTTGGTGTCAAAAACATTCCCAGCTCAGGTCACCAACCCTTGCCTTCCACCTCTGCCCCCCTGGAGAGGACACTATCGCTGAATTCAGGAAACCATGCATCATGCCAGCAGGAGCCAACTGCAGACTTTAAACTCGGTTCAACATGCGGATGCGGCAGAGAAATGACCTGTCCAGACAAGCCAGGGCCACTCATAAACTGGCTCTTCTGCTCCCTGTGCGGCCCGAGGCTGCGGAAACTCTGGAGCAGCCGGCGACCCAGGACCCGCCGGAACCTCCTGCTGGGCACTGCCTGTGCCATCTACCTGGGTTTCCTGGTGAGCCAGGTGGGCCGAGCCTCCATCCAGCAGGGGCAGGCCGCTGAAAGGCAGCGGCCTCACAGCCTTGACAAGGCCCAGGCCTCCTTCGCTGAGATCCCCCTGGATGGGACTCTGGCCCCACCGGAGTCACAGGACAATGGGACCACCCTGCAACCCAACGTGGTGTACATTACCCTACGCTCCAAGCGCAGCAAGCCGGCCAATATCCGTGGCACGGTGAAACCTAAGCGCAGGAAGAAGTATGCGGTGGCCTCTGTGGTCCTCGCACCGGAGAAATGGGGTGGACCGTCCCTTCGGCCGCAAGAAGCTGCAAGGGCAGCCTATGCTGAAATGCCTGGGTATTCTTGGGAAGGTCACCTAGCCAAGGTCAGAGAGCGACCCTGGAGTTTGGTGCGAGGTCCTGGAGTCCGATCTGTAGGCGCAAATTTGCACCTACCCGAGACCAGGGAGAGTAACATCAGGATCTACAGCGAGAGTGCCCCCTCGTGGCTGAGCAAAGATGACATCCTCAGGATGCGCTTGCTGGCGGACGGCGTGGTGGCGGGCCTCCAGCCAGTGTCCTCCAAGAGCGGAGCCCACCTGCTGGTGCTGAAAGGGAGCACCCCAGACTCAGTACGCCATTGCGGGCCTAGCCCCTGCGCGCTACTCAAGCAGCCCTTGGACATGAGTGAGGTGTTTGCCTTCCACCTGGACAGAATCCTGGGGCTCAACAGGACCCTGCCGTCTGTGAGCAGGCAATCAGAGTTCATCCAAGGTAACAGATTCATTCCCACGTTCCTTTCTTTGGCAGCTGTTGGGGATTTGGGTTCATTTTCCCTTTTCCTTTACTCCTTTTTTTTTTCCTAAGTGATTTTTCTCCACCCACGTTTGGAGAGCAGCAGCAAGTGCGAGTCTTTCCATTCTCTTGGCATTCTTTTATTTTCCCAGCCGGGGAGGGTGTGAGTTCCAGCGAAACTCTGCACTGGACATGCAAGAATGAGCCCACAGTGTATCATCTTTGCTCTTCATTTCCTCGCTGCACTTCCCAGCGGTTTATTAAATCTAATTACAGCCCATGGCAATTGGCATGATGCAGAGAGGAAGACAGGGTGGAGTCACAGAATTTGCTGGCAGTCAGGAGTCTTATTATAGGTTACTATGGACACAGAATTCCCTTCTTTGGAAGTTTTATTTTACAATTAAGATTGAAGTAAGTTATCTATTTACACTACACAGGGTCTTTTTAGGAGGCCAACAGCCAGACTATGTTCTATTCCATCACTTTGATTCTCTTTCCCTAGTATTTAACCCCTTTACTTAGCAAATTAGAGAATGGAAGCAAGAATATTTGGCACTCAGTGTACATATTGACTTGCCATATGGTGTTTGGTCAAGCTTCAAGACAATGGCTTTGGAGCTTGATTTCTGAGACTCTCTCTTGGGAGATACAGGTTTTGGTAGGTTGTAAGGTATGCAGCAGTTACAGAAGGCAGATCAAAGTGATGGCATTGGTCTGTGGTGGTGACTATGCCACATAAAACACATTCTGTGAATGTTGAAGCTATGCCAAGATTGGCATCCAAAATCCAGGGAGTCGGTTGCTTGTGTTGAAAGCACAATGACCATAGAAGTTACAAATGTTACAGGTGGGCACAAGGTGCTCAAAAGGTTCTCATCACCCTAAAATTTAGTCTTTTGCTTGTTGCTGGTGGCTCATGCTTGTAATCCTAGCTGCTCAGGAGGCTGAGGTCTGAGGATCATGGTTTAAAGCCAGCCTGGGCAGGAAAGACCATGAGACTTTTATCTCTAATTAACCACCCAAAAAGCAGGACCTTCAAGTGGAGTTAAAAAAAAAGTTGGAGTTCAAGTGGTAGAGTGCTAGCCTTGAGCCAAAGAAGCTCAGAGACAGTGCCCAGGCCCTGAGTTCAAGCTCCAGAACTCACACACACACACACACACACACACACACACACACACACACACACAGAATTACACAATTAGCATTTCAGTGAGATTTCCTGGGATGGGTGAGTTAAAGCTCTTGGAGCTTCTAGAGAAAATGCCACTTTACCATTGGCTTTGGGATTATAATCTAGTTTTAGAATGGGTACTGCTTGACATACCAATTATTTATATAGGACATTCTTTCCTTATTCTGGTTCATGTCTAAGTGCTCTAGATTCACAGTGATGTTTTGATGTCTCAGATTCATAAAGCATGCCAATGTTAGAAAGCCCCTTGAACATTTAATCTAATCTTGGGAAAAGCACTCACTGCTAAGCACATCACTGAATAATGGGCTTGTAGAGTTCATGTATGCATGGGCTCCTAAAGTTTTCACAGTGATGGTCTGAGGTAAGCATTATTACTGTTTTCATTTAGCATTTAGAAAACTGAGGCTTATTGATGCAAAGTCACTGGCACCAATTGTCATAGCTGGTAAATGGCCCAGAATATTTCAGAAGCAGAAGTCCTGTTAACCAGTGGACTTAGGTGAGTATGTACCTGATTATCCCAACAGTGCCATGCATGAGTGATAGCTCATTGGGACAGGCATTGGTTACACAGGTGTTCATGGAGCTCTCCTGGCTCAGTAGGACAGAGGTCCTCTCCTGAGTTATTTTTCTTTACTTTCATGTCATAAAGGATACAGAGAAGAGAAAGTGGTATAGCTTGAGGCAGAGTACTGTAACATTTTCTTTGAGCTTTCTTAGGATGTTGGGAAAAATTCCAAGTAGCAATTAAGATCATGAGCTCTGGAGCTGGATTGCCTGGCTCTGAATTCACCAGCCATGTTATCTGGAAATGTTGCAATGTTTTTCCTCTCTCAGTTTCTTCCACTTGAAAAGACAATACTGTCTCCCTCATCAGGATGGCTGGTAGTTGGTACATGGAAAACCCCACTGACTCAAAGATTGGACTAGTTTTGTTACTACACTAACCTCATGAAATACCAACCATATGGAGTTGAGTTGGAATGAGTGGCTCAGTGATCACTGGGCAAACATTGTTTAGCCTTCAATCCCTAGAGATCATTTTTTTTCATAAAAAATCCATGACTAAATCTCTAGTCTTCTGATTGCTTAATTAAGTTCACAATCTTGTTACCAGTATTCCTCTTAGATAATTATTTCTTTGTTCTCAATCTCCAGAGTAAAGATTTAGAATAAAGATTTGAATTTGAAGGAGGGGGAGTAGAATCTCAATATGGCCTTCCCATTCACCTCCAAATGGTGATGGAAAGGAAGCAACAGGGCCAAAAGTAATTGGACTCAATATGATGGATTAAATCTGTAAAGTTATATCACATTTCTATATCTTCATTTGTTTTTCTTTTATTTTATTTTTGTTTCTCTTTGATACCTCCTCCCATTTAGTTATTTGCTTATAAAGCCAAGTCTTATCAGGAACCTAAGAAACATGTATTTCTGAACACTCAATACAATTATATACATACAGATTATTATACTAGTAAGCAAAGTGTGCAAATAGACTAGCTCTAGTTCTGATATGGATAATCTTACAATCTCAGTAGCTCTTTCTGTCTACTTATTTATAACCTTTTTTTGCTCTGTGACTTTTTTATCCAAATTTCCCCAAGAATGTGTTTCTTTTTCCTTCTTGGACCATAAAATTGGTCTCGTAGTTTGAGCTTAGCTTTATTTGGACTGTTCTGTCAACCCAACAAGGTAATAGATCTTATCTAGTAACCTGGATTCTCTTTCTGGCTCATTCCCTATTATCACATTATACATATCTGCATTGTAATCATTGTCTAATCATCTTTTCCTTTTCTCTATAATCCAGGTGTAAGGAAGCAGAGATATTTTTTGTATTCTTTATTGTATTTGCTATTTCAGGGTCCTAGTAAAGAATTGGGCACATGGTAGGCACTTTATAAGTCAAATAACTGTAGGGATGCATTCTCAACCTGTGTCACTAATACTTAAGTAATTAGTCTGTATTTGCTTCTCTTCTCTAGGACTTAGAAGCACTATCCTTTTCAGTGTTACATTCAAACTAGAATTTCTCCTGGAGGTTCTCTTAATGAGACAGTGATAAAACTTGTGACAGTAATAAAATTTGTTTTGGAAGCATCTCTACAACACACATAATGATGTTTATAGAGCTTATTCTTGTGAAGCCCATCATCAGTGTGGTCTGCTGGCATTACTCTGTAGTGCAATTTGACAATGGGTTTTCTGACAAATAATAGGATTTGGTTTAGGTATGTGTTTCTCTGGTGCTGTGGCTTAGTCTTGAAATACAACTTTTAAAAAAAAAGGGAGAGGAATAGCTAGTAAATCTTTTAAGTAATCTGTTTCAAATGTTCTATATCTGTTTCAAATGATCTATCTATCTATATATACATAGATCTATATAGATATCTATGCGTCTATATCTGTATATCTTTCTATATCTATATCCATACAGGTATATAGATATCTATGTATCTGTATCTACATCTATATATCCATTATAGCTCTATCTATCTATCTATCTATCTATCTATCTATCTATCTATCTATCTATCTATCTATCTATCTATCTATCATATGTGTGTCTAAGACTGCACACAGATGCAGGCTCCTTTCTCAGTGGGAAAATGACTTCAGCCATAGCTGGGACTTCCTCAATGTTTCTTTATACCAGGCACCATTCTGTTCTAAGAACTTTGTTTCCTTTATCTCATTACTAAAATTCTTACTAAAATTCTAGAGGTGTATCCAGGTGTCATAGAGCCTGGGACTCTGACAGATATATAATAGACATGGAAATTGAGATCCAAAGAGTGAGTATTTAGGTGCCTTGCTTGAAGTCACACAGATTGCCTGCAGACAAGAGGGATGCATGAGATGCAAAGGGAGATTCAAGAGAAAATCAAACACTGTGATCTGAATGATTCTCTTGCCCTCTATCTCTCAGGTGAAGCTCTGTTGATTCAGTTTGAAGATAAAAGAATCTTTTTATTACAGAAGGCTTTGATTTACAATGTTGATAAATATCAGAAGTTGAAAATACATCCAATATACAAACTTACCAAATATCACAACTTAGTTCAAGCTATCTTAAATATGATCAGGTATTTTACAGAAACACTTACATTAGCTTACAGTTGGGCAAAGTCATCTAACACAACCTCTTATAGCTTTATAGTAAAATCTCATAACAGGTTAGAATAATGTATATATGATAAGATACAAAATATAAAACATGATATTAAAAATAAAAAAACTCTAGCTACACAGCATGCTATAGAGTATAGGTTGTGTACCCTCCTGATTATATCACTGTGATCATTCACTGTCAGGACATGGTATTATAGAAGAGTAACACAGCATTGTGCAGAAATCACTAGCCTAGGGGCTGGGAAGGTGGCTCAGTGGTAGAGTGCTTGCCTTGCATGCATGAGGCCCTGGGTTCAATTCCTCAGAATCACATAAGCAGAAAAAAACCTGGAAGTTGCCCTGTGCCTCAAGTAGTAGAGTGCTAGCCTTAGCTGAAGAGCTGAGGGACAGTGCCCAGGCCCAGAGATCAGGCCCCACAACCAGCAAACTCCCCCCCCCCAAGAAAAAACAAACAAAAAACCCCACTAGCCCAACAAAAGATTAAAACTCAAATTCTAAGTTCTGTTTCTATTGAATTCTTCCACACCATTCTAAGGCTGAAAAGTGAGTTGAACTAAGGTATCTTGAAGACCTTCCATATGTAGCCAATCTTCAGAGATGCTGTTAAATGGTCAAGCTAATATGGGTGGTCTGATCATCACACTCA